TCAGACCCACAACCTCCAGGGTTTCTTTCAGCTATATCTCCGGGGGGGGGGGGGGGCAGTCCCCCCAAAAAACTCCAGTGCCCCCCCCCCCCCGAAAATCTGAAGTGCCCCCCGGGGGGAAATTTCTGAAAGAAACACTGACACCCTCCCTTCAATTTTCATCACACTTTCGAACGAAAAAGTTGATAAAATATAACAATTAAAATGTTATCTAAAACACACTTCCCGCTTAAAGTATCATATTAATTTTTAAAAAAAAAGTATTCGATCAGAATTTAGGTTTTATATGTATGAAAAAAAATTGAAATTAAAATGTGTGACGCCACACACTGTCTTCACCGTCCCCAGTGTCACAAATTATCACACTCTCTTTGACCCCCCTCCTCACCCCCCTCCCCACCCTCCAGAGGGTGACGCACTTAAACGACTGGGCCTCTTAGTTATCAAGGACAGCATAGTAAACCGATTAGTTGTGACATTTTGGCTTATTCAGCTAATATCAAGAAAAAGGATTTCCTCCATTTTCACCACTGTTTTCAGCCTGGTTCGCCAATATTGCGCCGACTTTAAGTGGCACCCACGCCACGCTCCATGTCGTGTCGCACTCCCAGTACGCCTCTGTGTCAGACCACTGAGTCAAGACTTAGGATGTTTTTTGTTCGGGTAAAATTTTGAAGTATTGCTCCATTATCTCCCAGTTTAGCCATCTTGTTTCTTTGTCCTCAGCTGTCCTTGTAGGAAGCCAGACCAGCACCAATAGACTTCCGAGTTTAGCCCCAGGACAACAAACGTATTTTACCGTGCCTGAAAATGCCCCTGTTGGTAAGATGGATTATGCGACAATAAGTTATTTTTATTTTCTCATGGACTGCCTCAGTTAAAAAAAAAAAGAGGAAAGAAAATGTATAATTATAAAAATAGGCCTAATCTATCTTTTCAAGTTGAATTGGTTTCTTGGACTTATAGGCCTATAATTGAATTCTTTTAAAATGTGTAAAATGACAAATATCATAAAACATGTTATATATAATTAAGCACACATGGCTTAAAACATATTATATATCATAATGGACAAATAATATGAACATGTTATATATAATAATGGACAAATAGCATAAAACATGCCATATATCATAATAAAAAACCTACTGCACTTGTTCATCTTTAATTCATGGCTAACTTAACATACATTTTAAGGGATGAAACTGGGAACTTTGTAAGTATCACCCGTGGCGTATCTTGGGGTTGGGACCCTGTGACCGCCCTGGGTGAGACTTTTGTAAATGCTTATTACCAACCATATTTGATATGTGCCCAGGTGTGCTTTAAAAATGGCGCATATTTACATGTCTGCTCTAAATAGCTTTGTATTTGGGAATTTAATTGAGTCACGAAAATAACACTGACTGTAAGTTCTAGCATATTCTATCTCCTCATAGAAAAAAAAAGGGGGGTGGGGTCTTCAGAACCTGAAGGCCTGGAGGAGAGAGAGAGAGGGGAGTTCATACGTTGCAAGCGGAACTTACATGTCTCCCATTCAAAGAGACATCAATTTTATACATGAACTTTATTCATAAAGAAACGAATGTTGCGTCATACAAGCTCAGATCTTGACAGTCTTGAGACTTAAACATTTTAGCTGAGTTTGCATTAAAACATGGAAAGAGGAGTTACATTAATACATGGAATTAGGTATCAAACAAGTTCTGAAATTGAGACTATCCCAAACAGACATGACCAATTAATTTCTGTCAAACGGAGAAACCGGCCGGGACAATTTTGCTAAACCATGATGATTCAGGGTTAAACCGGGGCGTATGGTCATCCTATAGTAGTGTAGTATAATCTATCCCTCGCTGAATAATGATTACTGCTACTAGTCATTTATCAATTTCCCTGTCAGTTACAGTTTATCATGTAGGCTAATGAAAGAAGACTTTTAGTGACACTAAGCGTTCATACTTCATTCTTTATTTTCCAGGGAGCTCCATTTACCAAATTTTAGCCAATGACCAGGATGGAGATCATCTGACCTTTAAGTACGATAATTAAATATAACTAAAGAAATAATTAATATGATTTAAATAATTGAACAAAGTATTTTATCCAGATTGCATTAGCAGGGACGTCATTTGGGTAGGTCAGGGTGAGGCTTACCCCCCCCCCCCCCATTTTTGTTTATCCCCCCCCCCCCCCCCCACGTTTTTGAAAAAAACGAAAAAAAACCCCACCCCTGTGCATTAGTCAATAGCTTTAAGCGATAAAACATTTCAAAATTTGTTGACAATGTCTTACTGCGATTTAGTGATTGAGAGTACAAAAAGAGCAGTAGACTAACTTTTTTAATGTGCTTGCAAAAATTTCAAAATTTTGATTCTTTGGTAAATTTTTTCTGTATGCTTTTGTTTTCTTTCTCTGGTTGTGCATTTATCATATGAGTGTATTCTTGTGCATTTAAGGTTAGATTAAACTGTATTTTAAATAGTATAGTACACATCGAATTGGCAGATGAGGTTAAAATCAACATGTTATGTAATTATACTTTGTATTTATCACAGGACAGCTACAGATGAAACAACTTCTTTAGTCAATATACAAAATATTGTTGTACAAGGAACTGTCTCCACATGCAAAATAACACTCAAAACAGAATTGGACTGTGATACTGTACGTATCTTTGCTGACATAAGATAAGCTAAGGAAAGTTTTAAATAGATTTCTTATACCAACAGGATTGATCCAAAAAATAGAAAATTAAATAATAAATTTCCATATAATGTACGGTAACCGTTTTGTTACCAAATTTTACCTCTTAAATTATCCACAATATCTTAACAGCTTTTAACACGATAAGCACAAATGTTAATAGGTATCTATATATAAATGTCGTCTACGTAAGGAAAATTAAAACATTCCATGCTTACTATCTCATGTTTTAAATTTTTCTCCCGCAGAGTCCAAGAAGCAGATTTCTCTATTTTATAATTGCTGACAATTTTTATGAGGTAAATAACAAATGAAAATGACAAAATACTCGCGGCAGTGGCATAGAAAGGGTTTGAAAGGGTTTTCAGTTATATTAAGGGGCAGCATTTTCTGACAAGTACCGTTTTTTCGTGGATGGGTTGGGGAGGGTCAAAATTCTTATCCAGCATAGACTAAGAAAATCATGAATCAAACTTGGAAGACTCAGGTGTAAGATTGAAATATTTATGAGACCAGATCAATGGCCAATAGGCTCTATAGAACCCTGTAGTAATTGTTTACCAGGTATTAGTCTTATTAATTAAAATTTCAAAATTTAAAGTGATTTTTAAATTTCTTATTACACACATTATAAAGGTTCAATAATTTAATTTAATTTACGCAAACTATAATCAAGTCTACAACGCTCAATAAAATCTTTTTTCTTTCCTCAGATCAGAATAAAGATAACAATGATCATTACTGACGTCAATGACAATCCACCAAGTTTTATTGCACTGCCTTACAGAACATCTGTACCTGAGGTTGGAGACCATTTCTACAAATCTAGACAAATGTTTTATTAGAAAATATCAGAAATATTTAATTAAATTAAAAATTTAATTTTAATAAAAATGTTCAATATTCATTTTTAAAAATATGTTAAGCCTTGAACAAATTTGAAAGAGTTGGACATGGAAAAATTTATTATTGTGCTGTCAATCCATTAATAATATTTTTGATAATTTTGACTTCAATAATAGGATCAAGCTGTTAACAGTGTCATATTCACAGTCCAAGCTTCTGACCCAGACACAGGGCCAGGTGGAAGTATTATTTATTCTTTTATGGTCAGTTAAACCTGAACTGAAACAGTAATTGTTATTGAAACGAATCAGTTTTAAGTTTTATACAACGCTTAATCAAATAAGCTGACATTAATTAAAAAAAAAAATGAAATAAATTAATAAAACTGTGCAAACTAAATAAAATTATTTTTTAAAGGTTATTTTGCAGCATAATGTTATTATTGGGTTCATGATCTTTGAATGAGCTCCTACTTCTTGCCAAAGACAACCAGGGACTGGAATAAGCTTCCAAAAGCAACAGTTGAGGCGACTTTACTCCACACATTTGCATCTATTGCCTCCTGTCTTCCAACCCCCAGTTCATAATACTATCCCTGAGCAACCAGTGAAGTATCATCTTCAAAACCACACAGAACTTAGGAGCCAGAATGATCAATACATTGATCATGGGCCCTCAAAATATAGAAGAAGAAGATTTTATGTTTTTGGGTGTGTGATTTCAAAATTATTAGTCTTACAGTGCACCAGAAGCACATCTATGACTTAATAAATGAAAAATTCAGGTTTTTGAAAGTTTTGCTCTTAGGTTAATGGAGACTGACATATGAACTTTTTGGTGTAAAATAGGGCATGAAAGCCAGAATTGCTCTAACCCACAAAAAGTTTGCAGGAAATTATGTAAATCAATTTTAATAAAAATTGTCTACAAGAAGGCCCTATTTAACATTTTGTGCATTTCTTGACAAAATTATTAAATCTGAAATTTAATGTACTTAAAAGTTGTTTTATTTTTTTCAGGCCAGTATTAACGTAAGTTAAATAATATTTGTAACATCTGTTAATTTATATTTAAAAATTACGCATATTATGCTATGACAAAAAAATTGAGTTGAAAATACTGAAAAATAGAAAGGTTATCATTGATATTAAAGCAGCTAAAGCTATTTATGCTTTAAAAAAAATGAAATATACTTTAAAAATTGTGGATTAATTAAAAAAAAAATATTTGCATTCACTGTAAATCAGGGCCTTGTTATGGGGGGGGGGGATGGTGAAGGCCCAAAGGGGGTGCGGGACTCAGTGATCAACACAAGGGAGGCCTATATCCACTAGCATATGAAAGTGGGCAGTCGATGCTTATTTCTATAAGCAAAACACTTTTTTTGCTTAATTTTTTCCAAAATAGATTCTTTTTTCCTCTAGTCTGATCAAGCAGATTACAATGCAACATTTGACTTAGATCAAATCTCAGGCAAAATAACATTGAAGACACGTCTTGACTATGAGAAGCGATCATTTTATCACTTAAAAATATTCTCTAGGGTAAGTAAAACAATGGTTACACTTTTAAACAAAAATGTTAAAAATAATTTTTTTAAATATTATTTTCCTTCTCTATTATTATTAGTAATAATCTCATTTTTTTGGTAGTTTCAGTGTAGGGCTGTAATAGTTAACTAAAAAAAAAAGGAAATAGTGCTGATAAACTAGACTCTGCATTTAAAATTCTCTTACTTGATTATTTTTAATTATTATTGGAAATGTGGAATTATCATTTGAAGCTGAAACTTTTTTCAGCATTTTGCAAATTTGAGCCTAAAATTCTCAAGGTTCTTCTTATCATAACAAGCTAAAATTAAGTGAACTGCTAGGTAGGATGGCACAGTTTCAAACTTAAGTGGATCCTCAATTTACTTTGTCTGAAATATATGTATCCAAGTTAAAATATTTGTTATAATTCTGGGTCAAGATTTAAAGCTTTTAATCCAAACAAGCAAATCTTCTAAAATTGCTTGACATTTCAAATAAAGTAAAATAAATGTTACTTGATTTTATGAAAGATTTAGCCCTGAACAAGTTTGATTCTGTCACTATTTTCTTGTTTTGATATTTGTTATTTAGGACGAAGGCTCCCCATCTTGCCCAAGTCCTCAGTGTCTCTGTAATGCTACAGAGGTGTGTAAAGCTGAACCTGTGGATCTCTTCATCACTATACTTGATGTAGAGGACACAGCTCCTGTCTTTGAAGGATTACCATATATTGAAACAGTCTCTGAAGATAAGCCAGAAGTAAGTGATTGAAATGGATTTGAGGCAACAACCTTGTAGGCTTGATAAAGTATAACTTAATATGGAATAACCTGGAGCCTACATAACATCATTATTAATTTTTTAAATAATGTTAACCTTACATTCAAGGTGAAATGTTTTACTCGTACCTTGTAAGTTTAAAAACTTTTTTCTGATTTGAACAGCCATTCACAATTTTGTAAGTTTTTTCAATAGATTTAAAAAATATTTTTGCACACTTTAGAAAAATGGTGGGGCAATTATTTGAAAGTTGGTGAAATGGAAGGTTAAATTCTATAGGTCCATTTAAAATTACCATTGTCAGAAAGGTTAGGATTGGTCAGCCAACTTAATTAAACCTATGACAGTTAATTGGATGAACATAATTTATAAAAAGGAAATTGAAATAAGACACGCACCAAGGGGGAAGCAAACAACTACAGAAGTTTGACCACATTTTACAAATGGTGGGGTTGGTGTGATGTGCTATAAAACCAGCAGGCTAATATTTCCAAATTACTCCAATATTATGAAATGACTGAAGACGATGCCTCAAAGCAATGCAGACTGAGGGAACATTCCCAAACTTCAAACAAATTCAACCCGACTGCAGAAATTGACTTATCTCGTCTATCTTACAGTGGAAAATTTAAAATGACACCATGACTTGTCCTGCTGCTTGAGTTTCAAACAATTCCAGAAATTATAAGTCAAAACAATGATGATGAAAAAAAAAAAAGGAAAATGTTTTAAATTCTACTTTTTTTTTTACTTTTCATTTTTTTCTGGACATTTTTCATGTTGTTTTAAAGTTTTTTAAGTAGATTTTTTGTTCAGTTTTTGATCTCGCAGGTTGGGATGTATGACTGTTTAGACACTCTGATCATCAGTTTTTATTTTGTTTATTTTTATTTATCTTTAGGGTCCATCTCTTACAAAGATTAACAATATTTTGGAATGATATCATGGCCATGAGCCTTCCAGTATTCATAACTTTTGGATTTCAACAAACATTTCTTCTAGCTATAAGTGTATGCTAACTAAATGAAATCCCCTCATAAAAATATATAAACAAAGGGATTACTAGCTATACAACTTCCCCAAAGAAAGGAAAATAAATTGTTTTCTAATTTTAATTTTGCTGATCTTTCAAGATGTAAAATAACTTTTAAAAAAACAAATTGTTTGGTGGTATGGAGAGGACAGCAAAGTATTAAAAAGTATTATTATTAAGTGTTACACGCAAATTTGGACGCTATCACCTGACTTCAGGGGCTCATAATTTACTCGGGTTAAACACCTGCCTAAAATTATCCAGGATATGAAGTAGCTGGCTATTTAACCATAACTGAATGTTGATTTCAAACCAGCTACATCTTTGCTGTAAAACATAGCTTTTACTTGTGTTATTATATCTAATTCCAATCAAATAATGTTTTTGTCATGAGTGTCCATTTTTTCAAATACCTTTTTCCTAACATTTTGTTCCCAAATTAATTGAGTCCTACAAATTTTGATCCTCAGGGGTTTCCTATTCTTAGAGTTATTGCTTCTGATGGTGACAGGGGAGTTGCTGTTCCTAATAATGTTTACTTTTCAATCTCTGGTGGTAAGAGATAAGTTATCAATTCTGTTTGGTTTTATGATAAAAAATTTATTTTAATATTTACTGTTTCGATTTTATCAACATTCCATTCATGTCTGAACCAATATAAAACGTATATAACTGCTAGGTGAAATATTATATAACTTATTGTCTCAATAACCAATTTTGAATTTTGTTTAATATTGATTGCATTGATCTTTGCTACAAATTTAATAACTTTGTTTCACAATACAGGAGATATAGGTTTATTTTCTATCAATTCATTGAATGGCACCATATCTGTTGGAAAAGCTCTTGATGCTGATACAGATGAAGTGAGGAATCGGGGAGGTTTTTATTTAATAAATGTCACAGTAAGTAAACACCATCAAAGTAATAAGGCCATGTTATTCAAATACAACACATTTAATAATGTAGTACTAATATTCATTTGCTAGTTATTGATATTTTCAAATTTCATTACATAAAATATACCAAATAAAAATCCTATAAAAATAATTCTTTTTATGCATAATAATTTTTTTGCTGATAAAATTTTAACACTTTTTATTTAAGCATAAAAATAAATGATTACTGTAACTCTTTATTTACAGTAGTCTACCTATATATTTTTTATGTTAAAGTTAATTTGCAATGGAAGAACCATATTTTAAGTATTTTAAAAAACGACTATTTAGAGCTAAAATTCAACCTTTCATTTTGCATTTGAAAATTCACTTATTTTACTAAATTTCTGGTGTTGGGAAATGTTTACTTGACAGGCCACAGAAGCACCTGTCAACAGTTCAGCAGTTCTGAATCAATCGACAAGTGTCAGCATCACTCAAGTATCAATCACTATTTTGGATGTAGATGACAATCTTCCAACGTTCAATCAGACGGAATATAATGCTACAGTGCCTGAGAACACGCCATTGGGTGTGCCCCTTTCAGTTACACCAATTATATTTGTAGAGGATAAAGATCAGGTCTGTAGGCTCTATAGCAATGTTATATATATCTGATAATCTGATAGTGAACTTGACTTTAATTATACACATGACTTCAGAATTAGTTGTGACTGTCCACTCAATTGCACTTCACTGACAAGCAATACCCATGATGAATTAGATGGGTTCAATGAAAACATTGCTTTAATAAACATTTTATATTTGAATTTCCATTGCTTACTCCTGTGTGATTTATCTGTCCATCAGGGCATAAACAGCAGGTTTAATTTGTCAGTAACTAAAGACGGCTTGCCCTATAAGGACTTTCTAACACTGCCAGCTGAGGGCCAGACTATCCAAGGGAGATCTAGCATCACAATTACAGTGGGGAACTCCTCTGTCTTGGACTTTGAAACAAGAACAAATATCACCTTTCAGGCAGATGTTTTAGCTTTTTAATTATCATTATTTAATTGTTTAAAAACAAAACATTAATTCCATTTATCTTTTCAACTACAAAATATATGAAGTAAAATATTATTTCAGAAATCTTTCAAAATGTTAAAATACAGATATAACTGAATGGTGGTACTTTCATTAAATTTTAATGAATAAATTATTTCCCTTTAATTCCTTAGATTGTAGCAACATCTATTGATCAGGCTGGCAGAGCTAAAAATTCTACTTCAGCCACTATATTCTTGAAAATTGATGACACCAATGACAACAGCCCCACCTTCCCAACTCAGTCAAACAGTTTCAATGTCTCAGAAAATGCTACAGTTGGTGATTTGATTGCAACAATCAAAGCTGAGGATGTTGACACAAAAGACTATGGTAAAGTGACCTACAGTCTGGAGGAGTCAGGGTTTGATGGAGAATTCCTGATAAACAACACCACTGTAAGTTCCTGGACACTTTCATTTATTTGATGGTGTATCGACTTCCTGAGAAAATTTTTTATTTTTTCCAAACAGTATGTTGATTCCTAATCAGTAATTTATGGCTCTTTACAATTTGAAAACAAATTATTTTCAGTAATCTATCATAAAAATTTCAGTTCAGGGTTAGCCCACACTAATGAATCAAGCCATAATATTAAGATATATGCTTAAAGTAATCCATGAAACCATCATGACTTGTGAGAGAACAAAAAATTTTATGAAAAGTATTTAATGGAATAATGAGACTTGCCACCACGTCTCATGTAAAGCACTGAAAGTTTCTTTCAACTTCTATTTATACACAATACAACTTTAACATTCACAATATTTAATCAGATCTGTTTACTCTTACAATTTTAGGTGTATACATTGTATAAACTGTATGTTTATTTTTAACTATTAAGAAAATGTATTGAACGATTTTGTGATGATATTGTATGATTTTAAGAGTTTGAAAGTAAACAGGCCTGTTTAATGTTTACTTAATGAGTAGAGAATTTAAAAATTTTAAAAATGTTTTACGTTTAGGGTGAACTGAGGGTTGCTAAAAGTCTTGACAGAGAACAGAGATCTTCTTACATGTTGGTTGTTGATGCCACAGACAGCCCATCTTTACCAGAGGATCAGCGCAGACGGTCAAGATTTAGTATTGGGGTTCATATAATGGATGTCAATGACAACAGTCCAGTATGGGCACAGGTCATTCCTTTCATTACTGTGTTGGAGAGTACGGCAGTGAATACAACCATGACTGAATTATGGGCAACAGACAGTGATGAGGGGCTGAATGGGGAGGTAATATATATTCTTTGCTACATTAAATTAAGATTTTGTTTGACTTTATTTTTTTAAAAACAAAAATAAATATCTCACATTTGTACAGTTATACATAAATGCATTAACTCACAAATCTACTTTCCTCCTAAACCATTAATCTAATTAGTTATCTTCTGTCCATCAGATAGTGTATTCTATAGCTCCAGGCACAAATGGCTCTGACTTATTCGCAGTAGGCCAGAACAACGGGAGAGGTTTTGTGAATGTCCGGCAAACCCTCATTGACCACTTTGGTCTGAGATTGGTGATTGTAACTGCAACAGACAAGGGAGTTCCATCAAAGAACTCCAGCACAAACCTGTCTGTGTTTGTTGTTGATGAGAATCAACACAGGCCTGTCTTCACAAAGCCCAATGAGAAAAATTACGACAGCATCGCTGGAATATTTCCTGACATTGAAATTCTAGAGGTAAGGCCAGATAGAAAATTGTGTTTTTTTTGGCTATCTCCTTTTTATAAGATAAAGTTTTCAGTTTTTCAAATACCAGTATTCATTAGTCATGACAGCCTAAGTTTAAAGTGCACCATTATCCATTATCATTTGTGTAAAGAGCATCTTCACTCTTTATACCCTTTTTGTAAAGTACATATTTAAACATTACACCCAATACAAGCAGTATGTCATCAAGTCAGGAAATGACCGATGCCTGTAAATAAATTTCAAAAATCAATTGTATTCTTAATTTTAAAAAAACAAACAATTGAGTCCTGTAAATATGCCCCTATTTTTCCTTTTTATAAGATAAAGTTTTCAGTTTTTCAAATACCAGTATTCATTAGTCATGACAGCCTAATTTTGAAGTGCATCATTAACAATTATCCTTTGTGTAAACGGCATCTTTCTTCTTTATACCCTTTGCGTAAAGAACATATTTACTGATAACGCCCAATACAAACTGCATGATGCCAAGCCAGGATATGACCTCACCAAGTCAGGATATGACCTCATCAAGTCAGGATATGACTTCACCAAGCCAGAATATGACCTCACCAAATCAGGATATGACATTTACCAGGTCAGGATATGAACTCAAAAAACAGGTTATGACCTCACCAAGCCAAGATATGACCTCACCAAGCCAGGATATGACCTCAAAAAATCAGGATATGACCTCACCAAATCAGGATATGACCTCACCAAGTCAAGATATGACCTCACCAAGTCAGGGTATGACATCACCAAGCCAGAATATGACCTCAGCAAGCAAGGATATGACATCACCAAGTCAGGATATGACCTAAAAAAATCAGGATCTGACCTCACCAAATCAGGATATGACCTCACCAAGTCAGGATATGACCTCATCAAGCCATGATATGACCTATTCAAATCAGGATATGACCTCACCAAGCCAGGATATGACCACCGTCTGTGATTAAAGTTAATGGATCAAAATTCAGACAACTGTATTCTTAATATCTTTTTTAACTGTTGAGTTCCACAAGTTTTTCATTAAAATTGTTTTTCTACTTTTACAGGAACAAAATATTGGCAGTAATCTGTTTCAGTTTCAAGCACAAGATGCTGACTCAGGAGAAAATGGCAGAGTCAACTTCTTCCTTCTAGCCACTACCAACAAGGATTACGAGTACTTCAAGATAGACAGAGCCACGGGGAATTTGACGTCAGTGGGCAGGCTTGATCGTGAAGTCAAGGATGTCTATGAGGTTGTAGCCCTTGTATTGTTGTGTGGCTGAAGAAATAGTAAAATAAGATTATTTAAAATCACTGTGATATGAATCAGTTGATCTAGGGTGAATAATGTCAGATAGAGCTCATTGAAATAAGCAGTATTGGATGGGAGAAAGTGGCTATCATTGTTCCAACTACACAAAAACAGGAAAGACTTCATCTAGAATGGAAATCTAATACATTTGATAATTAATAATATAAAAAGAGCACTTGCTTTCAAGATCATTTCCATTCTTTAAAGGATAAATGAGGAGGGTGTTTAAATACAAAAATAGGATTATTTAAAGAAGACAATTAAGGTATAATGTTTTGGATCAAGACCTACCTGCCAGGGTTTCTTTCAGATATATATCGGGGGGGGGGGTGAGGTGGGTACATTGCCCCCCCAGGGAAAGCCAAGTGGAGCAAAAATATGTCCAACAATAAATCAACTGGCACTGCTAACACTGCAATCTGAAGTGACTCCCCCCCCCCCCCGGTGGAAAATTTCTGAAATAATCATTGCTCCCTGGAAGTATTATTATGAATTTAAATGAATGTGTTTTTATTTTTTAACAAACTAATATTTTAACAAAATAATTGAAAATCTCTTTTATAAGATTCAAGTTAATGCTGAGGACAATGGACAACCAGCTCCACTGTCCAATACAATGACGTTAAGGGTGAGACTAAAAGATGTTGATGATAATCTGCCCATTTATAATGTCACAATGCCACAAAAGATGCAAGTTAAGGAGGAAGTAAGCCCCATTATTATTGGACAAGTGACACCAGCAGGAGATAAAGATTTACCACCTTTCAATACAACTTGTTATTTTCTCTATGGTAGGTTTGAATTAGTCTCCTTGAAATCTACTTCCTATGTTTAATTATTCAAATGGAATAAACAATTTATATTTCAAATAATAAGGATTGGAATTTTTGCAATTATTATTTAATATTGTATGGATATCTTTGATTGTAATTTAAAATATTAACTTTAATCCTGAATTAAAATGTTTTAACTTAGTAATTCATTGTCTTTCAGCTTTAATTCAGCCAAGATGATAATAATTTGTTACAGTTGATTTTAATAACTTATATATACACAAATTACCAAAGACAAATGCTAACGTTTTTTTTTTAATTTTTTTTTTTTATTAACCATTTTAACAATTCAGGAGGAGACAACTTGACCAGTTTTCAGCTCAACAGCACCAGTGGGGAGCTGTCATTAAGAGATAAACTGGACAGGGAGACAACTCAGTTTCTCAATCTTGTCATCAAAGCAGCTCCGCCCACTACACCATCATCAGGTTGTCAGCAGACTGGCCTACCAGCCAAGAGTCAGGTGACCTCATCGAAGGTCACATCAGATCTGACTCCCCCAACCCTCTACAACTCATCTGACACATCCTTGCTTTGGCTGCAGGTGGTTGTTGTTGACATCAATGACAACCCTCCCAAGTTTACCAGCCCTGACCTGCCTACTGCTGTCTTAAATGATGCTGACATTGGCACAGAGGTCATGACACTTACAGTAAGTTACAATCTATGCTGGTTTATTTTTATACTGCCGTTTGGGTAAGCCAGAGCTTAATCTAAAGTATTTTGAAATGAAATGAAAGTAAAATTAAAATAAATATCAAATAATTTAACAGATGATGTTTATCAAGTTCTTATGATGTTAAACAAATTCTAAGAAATAAAAAGTAACTTTTTGTTTCAAGACAATGGAATTTTTCTTGTTCTATAATAATTTTTAAATCATGGTTTATCTTAATTAAATTATTTTAACTTCAAATTAAAAAAAAAAAAAATTGGTGTAATTACATTTTGTTACACTTACAAGATTATGCAATTTTTCCTGTTATACAATAAGCTTTAAAGTATGGGTTATCTAATCCTATTTTTGATTTAAATAAAAAAATAAATAACAATAACTCTTTTATCATTAACTTTGATCACAAATTGAAATTTAAGTTATACAATAAATTAAGCTTTTTTTCCTATATTTGAGAGCCCATGATCAATTTATTTATTATTCTGGCTCTCTGGTTTGAATTCAAAGTTTGCCTTCTCTTAAAAGTTAGATGAGGGGCCTCCAAGGCTAATGAGTGAGTGAGGCTTTGTGAGCTAGAAAATATTATTTTGGTGTCTACCATAAAAAGTAAGCCTTAAAAGACATGAAATTTACAAATCAATTGTGTCTATTTACAAAAAAATTATGTCTATTTACAAAACAATTGTCTCAATTTACAGAACAGTGTGACTGATGCTGATACCCCCATAAATAGCCAACATAAGTTTGATCTTCTGTCAGTCACTCCAAAGTTAAAGGAAGGCAGTGTGCTGGACACAGATAAGACAGCATTCATAATAACAGAAAATGGAACCATTCAAACAAATATCAGATTTCGTTCTGATCTTGATGGTTCCTTTTTACTGAGCATTAAAGTTTATGATAAAGATGGTTTGAATGACATCACTGTAGTTGAAGTAAGTGATTTCTTGGCAAATAAATTTACGAAATCTAAATTTATATAATAGATATGTTTTAGTCTTACATTAATAAATTTAGTCTTTATATTTGTCTTACACTTCACAAACCAAAATATAAGTTTAAATAAAATTTAACAATTTCTATACATGAAAACAAATTATTTATATTTTGAAGATAAATTAATTTTTTTTTAGTAAACTAAGGCTCAGTAGTTTTTTTGTTAGCTTCTATTTCTTATTTATTTAATGTATTTTTAAGTGTTTTCAAGTTTTGATTGTTTATAGGTTAGGCTATACTCCATTGAAAAGAATTTTGTAAAAAAAAGCATCTATATAATTGAAAGCCTTCAGGCTCTGGTTAGTTAATTATAAGAGTAAGATTGGGCAAGCATAATTCATACTTTTAAAACTGACATTTAGAATTTTAGGTTAAGGACCATTTTTCTTATTTCTAGTCATTTTCACCCATTTAAATTCAAAAAATTATTTAAAAAAATGATAATGTGTAGAGAAAAGAATGTATAGGTTTTTACATATTTGGTTTTGTTTAAAAGGGAAGTGGTATACCTTGCCTAAATGCCATCTGTGGCAAACTTTTGGGAATATATAACACACATATATATAGTTTTCAAAAATACATAAATTCCAAAGAGCGGCCCAGGAGATTCCCCCCATTTGCACCACCTAGGTACACCACTGCACCTTGAAATAATACAATGTAAAGAGTTTGATCAGACTAAGCTTTAATAATTTAATTGTTTTCAATTCAAGCATTAGTTTTTTAAATTGACAAATTTTTATTGTTTTATAAAATTAGCAATCTTTTGATGCTTTTGTTTTACTCATTAGGTATACCTAATCTCTAATCCCCTAAGGATGATCCTTGTTTTTGACAAACAACCAAATGAAGTGGAGACTGTAAAAAATCAATTAATAAAGTTTGTAATACATTTTTTTTTTGCTTCCAATTTATGAAAATTGAAAATTTCTAAACCGGTAATTAATTATTTCTTTTAGACTTTCTAACAGCATTTTAATTGTTTTTTCTAAAAATTACAGAGACACTCATTTGAAAATAAAACAGCTAAGTACCAACATTTGTGCTACAAACCTTGAATTATGTTCCTTTGTAATATATTTTATCACAATTTTTGTTCAAGTACCATTGATTTTTTTTACAAAATTAAATCTTTAATCGGGTTAGTAACACAAAAATGTCTTTTATTTATAACTTTTAAGCTTTTCTTTAAAAGATTAAAAAATTATCTTTTTTAATTAATTACAAAGGATATATAATTAAGCATATATAATATGAAAATAATTAAAAATAAGGCTATGTAAAATTTCCTGAACGTTTAATAATTAGGCTATAGATGCTATAACTGTCAAATTAAAATTTCATAGCATAAGTATCAGATAGTCTATACTAATTTATCCATATCATCACCACACATGTATCATGAAAGTCTTAGTTTTAATGTCTATATTATTATGGCAAATCATCATAGCCTATATCAATGACTGTCTTATATGACTAATATCATTCATAGCCTATATCAATGAATGTCTTATATCACCAATATCATTCACAGCCAACATAATCATGTTTATGCAATAATTTCATTAGTTCTCTTCCTGACAGGGAACTCTCAGACATAGTAAACCTTGATCTGGTCATTGACAGAGTGGTCACTCACTCACTTCCCGATGGCACCAGGGATCCTAAAAAGTAAGTGAAAGTTATTGTGAATAAGGTATGAGAAAACTAGTTCAAGGCAAAACATGCCAGAGATGCAATATGATTATAGAATATTAAAATTAATGGTCATAGAAATGGGAGGCGAAGAAAACCATAGAAAGGCTTTGAGGGTTATGTCTAAAGGGAACTGGGTAAGTTGGACATTATCCTTCACCAGATTAAATTAATCAGCAGGCAGAGACAAAAGTGTTTGTGTGTGTGTGTGTGTGTGTGTGTAGGGGGGACTCAATTGCTTACAAATTATGGGATGAACTAAGACTAACAATATGGCATCTAACTTAAATAATTGAATAGTTCTAAACCAGTCTACATTATATTTCTTTGGTCTCTTACAACATCTCTGTCTTGCACACTCAAATGCTCCTTTGATCTGTGATCATGGTCTATATCAACATCAGATCACTGGACATGTTAGACTGGGAATTTATCAATGCCTGAAGATTTATATGAGTGGAAAGAAGTTAGAAATGTTAATACACCTCGTTATGCTCAAATCTTTACATATAGCCTACAATCTTTGAAGGGGAGTAAAATGATATGGTAATGCTAGTCATAAGAAGATAATTAATAATTATTTTATTGATCAGCATGGAATAAATCAAAATAATCTCTGCTCAGATGAAAGGTGCAAAATAATAAACTTTTTTACATGCCAGGAACCAAGCCCTAAATAAAAAAAATTATTTTGTTAAATGTGAATAATCTCAATGTGAATATTACAGAACAGATGCATACATCCATGGACGCGAGAAAGTAACTGGAACTATAATTCCTGCAGGAGAACTATGGAGGTCAGTTTCTGCTTGAATAAGTATAATAAGGCTATAATAAGATTAGGCTATAATAAGATATGGTTATAATAAGCTAAGGCTATAATAAGATAAGGCTATAATAAGATAAGGCTATAATAAGCTAAGGCTATAATAAGCTAAGGCTATAATAAGATAAGGCTATAAAAAGATAAGGCTATAATAAGATAAGGCTATAATAAGCTAAGGCTATAATAAGATAAGGCTATAAAAAGATAAGGCTATAATAAGATAAGGCTATAATAAGATAAGGCTATAATAAGATAAGGCCATAATAAGATAAGGTTATAATAAGATAATGCTATAATAAGATAAGGCTATAATAAGATAAGACTATAATAAGATAAGGCTATAATAAGATAAGGCTATAATAAGCTAAGGCTATAATAAGATATGGCTATAATAAGATAAGGTTATAATAAGATAAGGCTATAATAAGATAAGGCTACAATAAGCTAAGGCTATAATAAGATAAGGCTATAATAAGATATGGTTATAATAAGATATGGTTATAATAGGATAAGGCTATAATAAGCTAAGGCTATAATAAGATAAGGCTATAATAAGATATGGTTATAATACGATAAGGCTATAATAAGATGAAGCTAGTAAAAATGAGAGCAATGTTATCTGAAGTTGCCTTTCTAAATCAACCATGATTTGAAATGAAATAAAATATTTGTTTTGCCTAGTGTGACTTGAGATAAGATTCTTTATTGATCCAAAGAAATGGAAATATTTTTTAAAATTACTTTGTACATATTCACTTTCAGCAAAGAAATAAATACATAGTGTAACCAAGATAACATTTTACATTTATAACAGTTGAAACACAAGACATCTAAAGTATTTCTTTAGCATGTAAATCAACCATCAATGAACTCCCTTAGTGGCAACAATGACTTAGTTGATAACCACTGGGGGAGCACACTGATATATTCGTACAGACTTGAGAGCAAATTAATTTTTATATCTCCCGGTCCTAATTTTACTCATCACTAACATATATACTTAAAAGTAATGAATCAGATTTAATTTTTACATCTTTTATCTTAAACATTTCATGAGCAAATTAAATTATCTCAATGAAATTACTTTTACTGCTCAATATGTTATCTGTTGTCTAAAGCCTTAAATTTTTCAATTCTTTCTGGACAGTCGTTTTAATTATGATCAGACAGCGCGAACTCTCTTGGCTACATATGGAGTCATAGAACTTCAGGTAAAAGTTTATTTCTATGCAATATGGAATGAATAAATACTCAAATTTGTTTAGCTTCATGGAATGATCAAGGTTTTGGTTATGTCAAATTAAATATGTAACGAGAATTATTTTTCCTTTAATGCATCACCTATTTTGAACTGATAATATAAAATATGACCTTATCCTTGAATCAGTGGTTGAATTGATAAAATATTTTTGACTTGCCATATTTTGTGAATAATAATGCTTTTTTGAATTCATGCTATAACTCCATAGAAGAATAATTCACCTTATTGAATAAGAAGGCTATCATTTATTGCAAAATAATTTTTCTTGTTTTCTCCTTTCTTTAATATGGGAAAAATATATACTGTTAACAATAAATTGGTTAAAGGCTATGATTGACATGGTAACTAAAAGATTTATTAAATTGCTGCAGAGTATCAAAGCGCAAGTGGAAGACAACTCAGAGGAAAATCTCAAAAGAGCATTTGCCATTGTGGGTGCTATACTAGCAGTTATAGTGGTAGCATTATGCCTGGTGCTTGTTCATATAGTGAGATTGTAAGTTTTGAAAGTATTTGAATAGGACTATCTTCGAATATATTGTGTATATTTTTTTAAAACTTTTTATGTTAGTATTATAGAACAGCCTTTTGGATAAAAAAAAAAAATAGCATCCATATAACAAAAATCCTACCTGCTTAAAGAGTGTCTTTAAATAAGTATTGTTGTATAATGGAATGTTATTGATTTGAGTTAATAAAGAATGCACATTAAAGTTTTTCTAATTATATTACATCAGGTATCGTCACCGTTTACTGGCAGCAACTACAATGGCATATGGTGAGTAATGGAGCTTTAAAAGGAGTGTAATCTTCATGAACAACATTTTTTAAATTAACAATTTATCTAGCATCAGTTTTACTGAGTGGATCTATATTTTGATCAAACTATACACTATGTAAATGCTTATCACACTAGTCACTATACATTTTGTTAATTTTCCATTTACAATTAATCAACTCTGTATGATATACGTCAGGAGAAGTGCACTGTTCCATGTAATTTACCAAGATGGCCAGGTTCCTCAACCTAAGCATGTAATCTGATTCATAGAAAAAATTGTTTGTTTTAGACTTAATTTTCTGGGTAATCTGTATTGCGATAACCCCCACAGGGTTTAGGCTTAGAGCCTTTGAAATACACATGTATCAGGATGTTCCATTGAATTTTTTGTTTGAGAATATCTTTTATTTAGCCAGTACACTGGACTTCATTATATGAGCTGTTAATTACTATTTTAGGATACACATTTTTTTCATCTTAAAGTTAATCTTTAAATGCCTGGGCTCTGAGAATGATGCACCAATTTTAATAAATATTATTTCTTTAATCTAGCATCACCCAAGGAGCAGGAAATGTATGAGCACCCAGGAACTAATAAATATTTTGCAGCGTAAGTACAGGAGAAAACAAGCCATGAAGCATTGTATGATAGTCAGAACTAAATCTAAAAAAGATTCTCTTCATTTCATCAAAACAATGAAGAGCTTAGTTAACATATTAAGTTAGATGTAGTGAACATTAGGAGAGAGAAGAACAGCAATCATAACATTTTTGGCTGTTTTTACACGAGTCATGATTTTAATAACCTGTTCAAATGATTATAGCTTAAGACACATGTCTTGATTGAAAAAAAAAATATGATAATGAACACTTTTTGTTCCAGAGAGAATCCATTGTTTGGGAAAGAGATTAAACCAGCTATTCTAGAAGATGACAAATTAAGGTATCATGACTTCCAGTTATTTTTCTATTTTCAAGTGTAAAAAAACCCCCATTAACTTATTTAATATTAAACAATATACTTGTATACAATTTACCTCAGCCCCTAATTTGCTTTCCAAATATGATCTCTTTGTTTAGTATGAGAAGTAATGGAACCCAAATTTATATCACCATTTTCATTGCATCATTCTATATTTTGTTGCCTTAGCTCTGAACACACAAAAATTAATAATTTCTGATTTGGTGTTTATGTTGTGTTAGGTTGTCATGATTATAGAGATTTTTTGTTTATGATCATCCGCTATACCATTGGACTGCTTTAATTACAATAATACAGCCCCACTTCCATAGTGAATAATATTTAAAAAGTTATCATCCAAAAAATTTAAATTGAACATTACCAAAAAAAAAAAAAAAAGTTAATTTAATTAAAATCCTTTTTTAAAATAAAAAAAAAAATTAAATAAAAAAATAAAAAAAAAAAAAAAAAAAAGTTAATGTAAATAAAATCCTGTTTTAAAATAAAAAAAAAAAATTATGATATTTGCATTAGTTTTTTTTTGGATGATAGCATTTTATTAATTTCTTAAATTTCTTTTAATTTAAAAAAGCAACAACAATAGAATGAATCCGTATATGGATGTTATTTTCTGCAGCCATAATTCATTGGATTTAAATGCTGTTGACACACCAGCAGCTCTACAATCCCCACCCCCTGATGAAGAACAGGAAGTTGTATTACAAATCATCGAGTCTCCATCTGGAAGTCCAAACCATTTGTCAGGCAGCCGGAAGAACCCGCACCTGGATGAAGTCCTGCAAGCTTACGACAATGCAGCATTCGAAAAAGATGAAGATGGTGTGGAGATCAGCAAACTGGTTAAAAGTGGTCAGAGGGCCATTATCAGGAACGGTCATTTAAATTCAGGGTTTGGGTCCGATGAAGGAATCACTAGATTCTCAGATGACGTTTTATCACAAGACTCTGGATATCCTAATGGTGGTCAGACTCACTTACAACATACTGAAATTTAGTTTGATATTTTCATGTTAAGCCATCCTTGTTTCTGGTGAACCCGATGATAACGTCTGCTGATTCATTACTCACATGCATGAACTTGTATCATATCAATTTTACCTTAAATTTATAAAAAAGGAATAATGGTTTTAAAAAAAACAACAAAAAAAACCAAACAAAAAAAAACGTGTTTAATCGTACTTGGATTTCATTCCCTTGGACATGAATAATTCTTGTTATCAATAACAAATTGTTAAAAAAATTAATGAATGTAATGTTATCATTATTCAGTTTACTTATCTTCATTAGCGCATCAACGAATATGAAGTCTCGAAACACAAACATGGTGAATAAAAAGTTGTGAGGAAAAAAAAAAAGAAAGGATAGCCTAGTGTTTTTAAAGAGATGTATCATATTCCACACAAAGATTCAGATATGCAGAACCTTTGCAGCTGGGATACATTTCTAAGAAATTTCAAAATTTATGAACTTAGAATATTCAACTTTGTTCTCTTGAAATAAGTTACAAAAAAATCATTTCAGCTACTTTAAAATGTTTTAAAATTAAAATGTTTTAAAATTAGGCAGAAAAATATTATTATTATAATTTTTTTTTCTTTAATAATATTTTTTAAATAATTGAATTGAATAAAATATTGTATTAGTAAAATCACTTTTAAAAATCATTTATGTCTTAAGATTGAAACCAGTAATCGATTGGAAAACCAAGTAAACAATTTAACTAGCAAGTTGATTTTAAAGTTAAATAGTTTCACCAGCAGATCTAAAGCTTTTCCTGTCCTGCGCTTGGTTTCCATTGAGATATGTGCACTACAACTACTATGACATAGTTGAATTAGATGTTTTTGTAAGTTTGTAGGATGACTTCAAGATAATATGTACAATGCTGCAGCATGAAAGCGTTGTCAACTGAACTTCTTCCATATTGACAAGATCATTTGATTTGTGAAACTTTTATCTTCTAGCTTTGTTGTTGTTTTTTTTTCAGGAAGAAAATTTTACTATGCTTAAAAGAATCTAATCAAATGAAGACTTTTATGTTATGACCGGGATTTGAAAAGCTAATTACCTTTTCTAGGTAACTCACAGCAATGGGTCAGAGTTATTTCCCATGTGAGACTGAGCCATAGAGTGGAGGCTGACTACACCTGTTAAATGAAAAATTATTACTTTGAAGTTAGCATTAATTTATTTTTGTTAACATTTTTGGCATACAAGAGCCATGCATAGAATCACCAGAATTCTTGATGAGACAAATTTTTAAAAATCTCTCTGTCATGAATTTTTTTTTTACTTAATTAGTGTTGAAAATAATTTTTTATGGTTTTTTATTTCGTGTAAGCAGAAAACAAAATAGTAATGTAACCACATTCATTATGTGGTGTTTAACCACATTTATTATGTGCCATGTAACCACATTCATTATGAATTATCAAGAACAACATCACCCCAATAAATGGTTATTTCATAAAATTTATTATAAGATAATAATAAGATTTGAGGACATCCATGAATGACATCACTAGTGTTTAGCTGATTTGTGACCCCCACCTCTCCCCCCAACCCCCAATCCCCACACACACTTAACACGAAACATGACAGGAAGTTAAGCCACAAATTTGTGACCCCTCCCCCCCCTCCTGTTTTTCTTCCCTGGTTGAGTGATGTCATATATGGTTGACCCATTTCTTCATTAATTTTAATTAATATTGCTTTGATAAATTTTCTTATGTAAAGAAGATTACAGAGTTTATCATTTATGTACATATACCTTTGAATTTTATAGATTTTATATTATACATAAAATTCTTAAATTGTAAATAAATAGATGAATATTTTTCGATTTTGTTGAAGCCTAAAATAGGAGAAAAAGTGGATGGGGGGAGGGGCATAAATATTTGTTTAATTAAACAAAAAAAAAA